ATTAAAACTGATACCTGACCTTTTTTTATGTCGAAATATTACGTTTATTGTATTTAACATTTTTTTATTTGAAACATTAAAAGTTAGCAAATTTTTGTAAAATTTAAATTCAACAAACAGTTAGGTTACTTCGGCCGATTTTGAACTAATTTTTCAAAGAAAGGTCAACAAATAAATTATTTTTAAGTTTTGTCAAATCATTTTTTTCGTGTCATTGTTATTGTTACTTTTTTGCAAATTTTGTAAAATTTTGTTTTGTTGATGCCAAAAAAACGAATAAATCAAAAGGCTATAGCCATATTTTTTTTCCAGATTTTTAAAAATTTTTAAATTTTTCTCCTTTTTTCTTGCTGATTTTTTTTGAGAAAATTTAATTTTTTTTGCTCTAATTTTTTTTTGAAACATTAAAAACTAAGTAACTTTGTTCCAAAAATTTAAAATGTAACAAAAAGTAAAGTCATTTTGGTCGATTTTGAACTAATTTTTCAAAGAAATGTCAATAAATAAATTATTTTCAAGTTTTGTTATTTTTTCCGTGTCATTGTTTTTGTTACTTTTTTTGCAAATTTTCAAAAATTTCGTTTCTAATGTCAAAGATGCCAAAAAAACGAATAAATAAAAAGACTATTTCCATATTTTATTGTTTCCTCGTATTTACAATTTTTTTTTTAGTTTTGCTCTAGATTCTTTTTGCCCATTATTGTTGTATTTTGACCGTCACAACTAACATCTGTCGCTTTTGTAACTCGAAAATCTTCAAGATTTTCTTCATTTTCTCTCATTGTCAATTTGAACTGTCAAAACTGGCATCTGTCGCGTTCAAAATACTCTCATCGGACAATTCCTGGGAGTAGTCATCACAAGTCGGCTTATTCCTCAATTCCAGCAATTTATTCTGCCGCACATTTTCCTCAATAAACTTCACCTCAGAGGGCGAATTTAGCTCAGGAACTGAGACAAATTTGTGCACAAAATTGGGCATCGGTTCCTCCTTCATGGTCGGCAAAATTTGCCCATTTTCCAACACTTTGCTGCAAGTGTGGGTCACACCCCTCGAAGCCGAGGAAAACGACACACTCGCCAAGTACCTCTCCTCCTGGTGCTCCTCGTAGCAGCGCCCGCGGTGCAGCACCAGGATGTGCTTGGAGACGACTTTGGACGTCGACGCCGACTGGTTCTGGTAAATGTTGGTTTCCTTCCGGGACTTGGAGAGGATGTTGCTGGTGCGACTCATCTTGCGTCGAGGACAGAGCTTCCCAAACTTCATCTGTCGTCCATTTTTCACTAGAATTTTGACACTATTCTAGTGTCAGAATTTTTCATGAAACTGTAACATCTGCCCGACCCTACCACCGGCCTGAAACCCGGCGAGGCGTATTCTTGGACTCCAGTCTGGTGTGCGTGCTGGCAGTGAAGACCTCGACGACTCTGGCGCTCCAACAACTCGCACGTGGTGAGTCCCAAACCGCCCCGATCTCACCCCAATTGAATCACCCGAAAATTTGTTTTTTTTTCACAATCGTGGAAATTTGCATAAATAAGTTTTTAAATTAAAATCTATCAAAATTATAACTAAAATTTCGACGTTATCTCTGATAATTTTTTAAAAATCCAGCAATTAAAAAAAAAATCAGTACTTTTAGAAAAATTCCGGTAATTCACAAATGATTCCAAAAATTCCAAATAATCCAAAGATAATTTCCAGCAATTTCGATTAAATTCAAAAAATCTGTACAACTAATGCTAGAGTTGACGGCCCCTTGACTACATGTAAAGTCACTTATTTGACACATCAAATTGTAATTACAACTATTTTGACGATTTTTGAACAATTTTTCAAAACTTTGTCTATTTATAAAAATGAAACAGTTCAAAAAAAATAATACATGATTTGTGAAATAAGTAATTTTTAAGTTCCTCTTTTAAATTGTTTTAAACTGAATTGAGAAGTGTTTACAAGTTTTTAAATTAAAATCTATCAAAATTATAACTTTGAAATTAAAAAAATTCTTAGGCCCATAACCTGCAAAAAAGTTGACAAGGGAAAAATATTTCAAAATATTTTTTTAAATTATTTATATATTTTTTTTAATCGTTTGATGCTTCTTAAGCTTTTTTGCTTAGTTTCTCTAAAATTGCGAAAATTGTTTTTTGTAAAACTTGTTGTTTTTAATTGATATATTAAAAGCTAAGTAAATTTTTGAAAAAAACTTAAAACCTAACAAAAAATAAAGTTATTTCGGTCGTTTTTGAACTATTCTTCAATATTTTGTCTTGTGGGTCACATTCTTTGTGTTTTTCCGTTTTTTTCTTTCTCTTAACACAATTTTTTTTACTCAAATCGATAGAGTAGTCAATTTTGAATAAAATAATGAATTTTGATTCAATGGAGGATAATAACTTATTTAGTTTTGTGAAATCATTTTTTTTCAATTTTGTTGCTTTTTTCTTTATTTTTTGCAAATTTTACAGRATTTTGTCTGTCTCTAATATCAAATTTTATGCTAAGAAAGATGAATAAATAAAAAGATTATTTTTATTTCTTTCTTTGTTTTTTTTTTAACTTTTAAGCTCCTAAATCTTTTATTTTCTAAAAAATTTCAGATTTTTTTCGCTGTTGTATTTTGACCAATTAAACTGATACCTGACCATTTTTATGTCGAAATTTTACGTTTTTTATATTTAACGTTTTTTTATTTGAAACATTAAAACTCAGCAAATTTTTGTAAAAATTTAAATGTAACAAACAATTGTAACAACAAACTTTCCCGATCTCACCCCAATTGAATCACCCGAAAATTTGTTTTTTTCCACAATCGTGTTATGCAATTTCTCGCTTCCTGCCGCATTGTTTTGGAAATTTTTTAAATTAAAATCTATCAAAATTATAACTTTGAAATTAATAAATTCTTAGGTCTAAAAAATCTACCCATAACCTGCAAAGTTCACAAGGGAAAAATATTTCAAAATATTTTTTAAAATTATTTATAATTTTTTTAAATCGTTTGATGCTTATCAAGCGTTTTTTCTTAGTTTCTCTAAAATTGCGAAAATTGTTTTTTGTAAATTTTGTTGTTTTTATTTGAAATATTAAAAGCTAAGTAATTTTTTGGAAAAAACTTAAAACCTAACAAAAAATAAAGTTATTTCGGTCGTTTTTGAACTATTCATCGATATTTTGTGTTGTGGGTCACA